CCTGCACCAAGTGCAGAAAAATCTACGGCACAAAGTTTGGGATAGAAGAAAATAAATCAACATTTTCTTTACAGCATACTAGTCCCAAGAAATCCTCAAACTAAGAGGATGCAATTTCAGTTCTACTGGAAAAAATTACTAAGCATATGTTTAATGTTCAAGCAGGATTTGCAACCCCACATTTAGGAGGCAACTCTCTGCTATCCCAGCTGTTTTACACAATTATTTTCGTTGCTTTCATGCCACCCTTGCTTTGGATACCCAGGATTCTCTACCACAATGACCATGACACAAATATGGTATTAGGAAGACTGGAAGGTTCTCAAAGCAGAGTTTTAAAACAATAGCTAACAAGTCCTAAGTTTTAAAAATCCCAGTCCTACTGACACCATAGATCAGACAGGTTCAGTGCAAACAGAACCTCTTTTAAAGTATAAGCCTTGGTCCCTCTGGTGTATACACACACACACAAATGGGGCAGGGGGGAAAGAGAGATTCCAAGTGTATTACCCTTCAGCCTCCAATTACACTGACTATTCCTTACTATATTACCTGCCAGTTATGTGGAAGCTCCTACAAACATGAGAATATAAAAATTAAGGAACTTGAGAGTTTTCTCTCATTTAAAAAAAAAAAACCACAAAACACAAACAAACAAACAAAAAACCCCAAACCAACAGATGCATCTTAAAAGACAACCAAAAGGTTTTGGTTCTCCTGTGAAACTAGAAAGCCATCAGGACCTCCTAGAATCATGTCACCCAGAAAGAAAAGGAAAACAGTAATTTGGGGGTGAAATGGAAAAAAAATGGAAGAATGCTAGTATCAACATCTTCCTATTCACAAGCCAGGAAATTAAATGAAGTACTGCAAATTGATTCATTCAGAAAAACTGAGAAAGTGAAACTTCATTAAATATCAAGCTATTGCCTCCCAAACGATCCTAGATAGGATCCCAAACTGGTCAGGTACCGCTCCAAGCACTGCTAATTAAACACAACTGAAGTTGTCACTAGTCCATTCAAGAAAACAGATGTTGCTTCATAGAGCTTTGATATTTTTCTTAAATACCTTTCAAAATGAGGAGCAAAAAATATGAACTCTTATAAAAAGGGCTTTATTGTATTTTTATAGCATATTACATACCTTGTAACAATCATTCTGTTAAGTGTGAATGTCAGTTTTATTTTCTGTCCCTTTTTTCCTGGCTATTTACAAGCTTTGTAAGAATCGTTCCTTAATTAAGTCTAAACATAGTTTTATATAAATGGATTCCTGGAATTAAAAACGTTCAGACTTAAGAAATGATTGTTACAGAGACTGTAACAGGCCGTAAAAAAGAATGCCACTTTAAACAAAGATTTCTCATTTTAATTAAAAAGATAATCATCAGAACATTCGTACACTTAACAGAACCATTTGAAGCTACTTTGAAAAAATATCTACTATTCTATGCAGGCATATGTAGTTTACTTTATATGACATTTAATCAAAGCCTCAGTTGAGCCTATTGCACTCATACTTTAAATACTGTATCTACAGTTTTAAACACTTTATTCAAATATGAAAGTTACTTATTGAGCACCTCATTTCTAGTACTTTTGTAAATGGCTATGACAACAGAAATCCCATATTCTTGAAGGCATAAAAACAGAGCTTTGTAAAGCAAGGGGTTTCGGAAGGGGGTTTTGTGGGGTTTTTTTTAAGCTAATGGGCACAGTCGCCTCTCCTTTTAGCTTGCCTCTCCTTTTAGCTTGCGCATCAGTCCCTTACACACCGTACTTCACAAAGAGTGCAGTTTTCTCTGTAGTATTGTAGAAACAAGAAAAGGGGCTGAGGTGAACTGAGACAGGTTTCACTCTGGTAAAATCCTTGGTGTAGCTGCAGAACACTGAACTATATAATTTACAAGATCATGTTTTAAATCTGTGAACTGGCTTTCATTCAAAAAAAAACTTTGAAAGAGGACACGGAGAATACATGATAGAAAACACTCATTCACCAGCAAAAAAAAACAGTCTTCCCTGGTAAGCAGTTGCTTATTATTGCATAATGCTAATAGACAGCAATTTAATATCAGAAATAAGTTAGGCCTTCTTAAAATGTAGAGGTAAATTGAGCAGGCAAATGAAGTTAAATAGATTAATTAAACCTTAAAGCATTAGATTATACGTATTGTAGCTGACCACGGATAACTAAGAAACTGGTAGCAGACATTAATTAAATATAGTATTGTTTCATTGGCAAGTAATCAAGCCAATACCAGCCAGTGGGAAGGTGGCTTTCTTTTACTCCCATCACAAAGTTACATAGACATGAGCACACAGAAAAAAAAAAAGAGTCCAGTTTGTCTTTCAAAGCATCAAATAGAGATACTTTAAAGGAAGAAAATTTCATTCTTAATATTAGTGTTGGATGAAGTCTCCACATGACATTTTTCTATTAGAGTTAGGCATTAAATAAAAAACAAATTGCCAGGTCTGTCTTGCCTGATACCTTGTGACTCAAGAGAGCTGCTCAACGTCACTGCCAAAAATTAGGTACTGACATCTTTAAGTGGAAAAACTATTATTTTCTAGAGAAACACAAAAATACTACCACCTACAGGGCTGCTTTTCAACATGAAATGAAACCTACCACAAATCTATACCAAAAACAAAAGTACCAAAAGCTGGAGAGATAATAGGTCTCATGGATTTGAGTATTTGCCTATGATGGCACTTGGGAAACTCTCAGGGAAAATCAATAATTAATAGCAAAGGCCACCTCAAACCAAACTGCGAGCCACCTAATACGGAAGATGTACATGAAGCGTGTCACGCTTCGATGAACAAGATAATACACTGTGAATGATTCAGCATTAGTTGAGAGGATGCACAAGCTGATCTATTACCTCTACGTAGATAATTGTACCAATGCCATTACTGCAGTACCTAAGCACTTTCTGAGTGTTAAAAGGCAGAAACAAGGCAATTCGCTCCCTAGGAGGGTCAAGCTGCTACTTGCAACTGATACCTCACGTATCCAAACAACCTACCTGCGCCACACCTCCGCGAACACCAAAAGACCCCACCAAGTGGGGGACTCGATGATCTTAAGGGTCTTTTCCAACCTTAACGATTCTATGATAAGTCTGACAAAAACTTTACTTCATCTGCATAATTAAAGCAAGAGTCATGTTCTAGATAGACATGCGCTAAAGCAAAAGGCTGAGATGTGTTAAATAAAAGCTTTTCTCACTCTCCTCTCAACCTGTAAGCAAAAGTAAAGTTCCTAAAAAGTTCAGAGGGGACAGAGGGAAGCCACATCTTCCGTTGCACTTTTGCAATTACAAGCATTTTGCACACAAGAGGCTTTTTAATAAAACATTGAGGAACTTAGTTTAGCTTTTAGCTCTCAGCGCAGCCTGATCTTGATAATTCCTCCCTTTATCTGGTACTCTTAACAGATGCATCTCCTGTAAGAGCAGCTCTCTCATGCTCAGGTCTCTCCCTAGTGTTGGGGAGCTTTATTGTTCGAGTGGAACACAGCCAGCTGCAAGATGGACAGGGAGAGGGATTCCCTCAGGTCCCAGGCCCAATCTTACGGAAGATCTCAAACGCCTGGACTAAGCCCTTGGATGGGAATCTTAGCACAGGCGGTGAAAAAATCAGCATATGAGTAGTTCACGTAGCATGTTCACCATGCTGTTTGGCAGAAGACAAAAACGTTTCAGCAGAAACTTTTCAGGATATGAAACTCACTATCTAGAGGCAGGCTATAATTACCAAGCTTGGCCAAACACAAGTGCAGCAGGATCTGGGACACTCCTTTGGCCAATCACACACCAAAGAGGGTAGTTTATTATTACTAACTGCTACCTTGCCTATTTGGGTATCCATAGCATTTTCCCACTTCACTGAGCTGAGACTCTATAAATGTGACAAACTTGGAGACTACTGGCAAAAGGGTCAAAAAGTCACAAGAGAAACAAGTTCTACAAGATTAAAAAACAGAAGCCAAACAAGTGTTTTGAAGCTCAATTAAAAATTAAAATTTGCAACTAGCGTTTCCTCAGTTTCATTTTGGGCATATGTTCTGAAGGTTGAATAGAATCACTTCTTCTTGACGTGCTTAGATTGAATTCTGTACCACTGGAAGCACTAATCCAAAACAAACTTTTAGCAAGTGCTGCCAGTCATTTAAACTATATCCTTAGGGAAAAAAACAGTTTTGGGCACCCAAAATTTACATTCAATTCAGCTGGCACCAGTTTGTTTTCATTTCTAAATCTTATGTTTCTGGCCAAAACACTTAGAAATATCAACAAATGAAGAAAGAGAGAATGAAACTACAGTTTAAGTGCATCGGGCCTCAAATCTAAGTAAACCAGCCACATTTGAAGAGCACCTTGGATGCAGGTACCCCCAAGGCTCTTTTCCACGCCAAAGGCCAACTCGCAAGCCTAAACAATGTAAGCGCTCTTCACGTTCGCTATCAGTGATACGCTGCTGCAGGAGTAGGTGAAAGATTTAAGTACCAGTATTTACAGTTCTCATGGCAGAATAGAAGGGAAAACAAAATAAAATTGCAGAGAGACGGTGTGCGGTACAGAAGGACCGTCTAAGGTGTATCAATAAAGAGAAAAGCCCAAGAATTACATGCGCAACCCCTCCCGGTGCCTCTGGGCCCCTCTGCCAGCCCCTGCCTCGCTCGAGTTTAACTTCTCCCGCTCCCAGGTGGCACCCGCAGCCCCCCCCCCCCCTCCGACACAACGACGCTTTTCCACGGGTCTGGGCCCGCTCCCA